GGAGCAAAATGGTAAAAATGGCAAATGACACTACCGACCTATATAACTGGTCAGAAAACAACAAAAATATACAGATTTCCCTCAAGTAAAATACCTCCATGGGTAAACTAAATCATAATGTTCCCTCGACAGAAATCTGGGTTCGTTATTTCTTCGTTGTAGTTTATTTTTCAACCATTTCTCACGATTTCTGCAACCTCAGTTAGCGACAACGCCGCCATCTTGAAAACTACGAGAGTAAAGCCAAGTCTCGCAAAACGATCACGTGACTTCAAGATATCAACAAATCCACGTGTTTCTCTGGTTACGAAGACGAATACGGCGCTTAGAGCCAGGAAAGGATTTAAATAACAATGAAAAAAGTAGTATACTGTATACCGACGATGTATATATAACTGACAGACGAAGCAAAATACCTTCCCGGACCCAAAACGCCGCGAAACCACGGCTAAGTACAAATCAGGCATTACTTAACTCCCAAGCTAGCTATATGTATAGTACAGAACAGATCAGGCATAACTTAACTCCTAAGCTAGCTATATGTATAGTACAGTACAGATCAGGCATAACTGATCAGGCATTACTTAACTCCCAAGCTAGCTATATGTATATGTACAGAACAGATCAGGCATAACTGATCAGGCATTACTTAACTCCTAAGCTAGCTATATGTATATGTACAGTACAGATCAGGCATTACTTAACTCCCAAGCTAGCTATATGTATATGTACAGAACAGATCAGACATAACTTAACTCCTAAGCTGGCTATATGTATATGTACAGTACAGATCAGGCATTACTTAACTCCTAAGTTGGCTATAATGTATGTATAGTACAGAACAGATCAGGCATAACTTAACTCCCAAGCTAGCTATATGTATAGGAGAGTACAGATCAGACATAACTTAACTCCTAAGCTGGCTATAATGTATGTATAGTACAGAACAGATCAGGCATTACTTAACTCCTAAGCTGGCTATATGTATAGTACAGAACAGATCAGGCATAACTTAACTCCCAAGCTGGCTATAATGTATGTATAGTACAGAACAGATCAGGCATTACTTAACTCCCAAGCTGGCTATAATGTATGTACAATGTATAGTACAGAACAGATCAGGCATAACTTAACTCCTAAGCTGGCTATATGTATATGTACAGTACAGATCAGGCATAACTTAACTCCCAAGCTGGCTATATGTATATGTACAGAACAGATCAGACATAACTTAACTCCCAAGCTGGCTATATGTATATGTACAGTACAGATCAGGCATAACTTAACTCCTAAGCTAGCTATATGTATATGTACAGAACAGATCAGGCATTACTTAACTCCTAAGCTGGCTATATGTATATGTACAGTACAGATCAGGCATAACTTAACTCCTAAGCTAGCTATATGTATATGTACAGAACAGATCAGG